CCCCCTCTCCACATCGTTACAATTTTAGACCATCTAGAAAGCGGGATGCTTAAGACTTAGAACCTGATAGTCAGGTCAACCACGGCTGAGAAGGATACAATGTCACAGCAGACAGATATTCGATTTTAAAACACAAACAACACCAAATAAAAAACCCTGTTCAAACGGGAGTGAACTGACGTCTGCAGCGTGCAAGGGCAAAGTGTCTCACCGCTACACCACAGACACTCCTGTTCTATTACTTAGGCACGAGTCACAAATTCAAAAATGTGACAAGGGTTAGACAATAAGGCAGACTAAGCGACAGACAGACAAATAGATAGATTGGTATATTCAGGGCAACTATAGCGAAAAAGTCATAGCAATGTAATACAAGTTGTTCATAAAAAAAAAAATTGAAATCAATTATCAGTACGCTAGAGACACACACGTCCGAGATTGTTAAACAGACAGACAGACAGACAGACAGACAGACACACAGACAGACAGACAGACAGACAGATTGACTTACTGACTGACAGACAGACAGGCAGACAGACAAATTGGTAAATACAGAAACAACTGTGTCATAAACGTCATGAAACACTTCATTTCACTTAATAGTGACGCACAAGTGGGAAAGGATGACTTCTGCTGTGGGTGTGAAGCTTCCCCCGACCCGACCCCACCCTCAAACACATATACATGTAAGAAAAAAACAAACCCAAACGACTGACTGGCAATGGCCATACCCCTTTCTGTGCTGAATTAAGTACATGACACCAGGAGTGGCCTAGTTCACAGCTGAAGAGGCGAATGCTTTTTAAAGACAAGCTCTGCGCACTTGAGCTTGACCACCGCTCTGCAGCTTATTGCGTTTTGAGTACGTCTCAGCGGATGGGTTGTTTCCGAGTCGGAAGGTTACTTGGGCGCTCGATTAGCTCAGTTCGTATCATGCTGGACAAATGAACTGAGGGTCCTGGGTCGAATCCGAGACTGGTCGTTCTTGAACTCGGGGGTCGTTTTGTGGAGTTTACAACGCCCAGAACCCATTCGGCTCGGTTCTATTAAAGATGGACGT